ATAGGTTTGAAACCCTGAAGTTTCACTTATTCATACTTGTTGTATTTGAATATCTTGTCTAAGTGAGAACGATGAATGATATGTGAAATGACTTTATTGGAAGACCACGTTCATTGCTTTTCCTTTTGAATAAGACGCGCCCACCGACTGTGTTCATCATGTATTACTATTTTGTGGTTCCAAACCATTAATTGTACACAGATATGGATGAAGTCACAGTGATACTGAACGTAGGTTTTCTGAACAGCGGTTTTAAAACTCTGCATGGAGTCTCCCTTTGGCAGTGCCTGACTCCTCCTCCCTGAAGAGATGATGTGTGAGAGCTGAGATGGGCCATGCTTGTGTCTCTGGGCCATGGACGGTCCTATGACGTACTCAAAACAGTCACACCGTTAATCGTGGACAACTTTAAGCCTTGACACAATTCTGATTTGAGTTCTATAAATATTGTCTCCTGTACGGTCGTCGTGAATGAGGAAAGCTACAGATGTCATACGTAAGTGACTCTGACAAGCCCCCAGTCATGAGAGCCAGACCACTGGCTCAGAGGTGTCAGGTGACTGGTGGCACCAGAGGGATGGACAAGTCACAAACCTTCCACTGAGTTCAGGGAGGTTCTGCTGGAACAAGTCTGAATGATGGCAGCTCCAAGTAGCCACAGGACTCCAAGGATCTGCTGCTGATGGTTTGGTATCAGATACCACAGAACACCGTCACGGGATTGAAAGCATCCACGGCTCTGTCTGGGCAGCATGTGAAGGATCAATAGATTAGATTAGAAAAAGGTGTCATTACCTCAACATGTATGAAGGGGACAAAAGTAATCCTTGGACTCCAGAAAGTCAAGATTATTGAAAGCTAGGGCAGGATGTCCAGGTTCTAGCTATCCTCTAATCTGTTCTCACAACACCATGAGCATAGCTTTCTTTGCTGATAGGAGGCTAAAGGAAAGTAGCAGCAATCAGTGCACATGTGGATGTATTCCAGGCAGCAGGTGAAGTCCTGCTATCCAAATGTTTTGTCAGCGGTCCAGGTCAGATAAAAGGGTGCCAAGTGTAGTGCTTGACGTATTTTCTTAGTGTGCACTTGGACTGAACTGAATTAGCGGATTTTTGGTCTCTTCTGACTGCATGTGATTCATAAAAGACAACATGTTGTAAAGGTCTGTCCTCACTTCATAGGCACCCAGAGGGGTGAATTGATGCCTTATGTTGTCTGTGAAATAATGTAAATATATGTTCTCACTGGGTCACAGGTATTGTTTATTCAATCAAATGTATGTTGGGGGCGTGGCTTCGCATGAACCTGCATTTAGGTGAGTGCAGTGCACGCGTGCGGGGGCATGTTGTGAAATGACGACGCATGCCGACTTGGAGGCTTTCCCGGAGTTGCATTGCTGTGGAGTACGGATTTTGCTCGTTTTGAACTTTTGGAATAACTAAAGTTGCTGGAACGGGAGGACGGACCGCTTCACGGAGCTGCTGGGGACCGGATCCATCATTCAAAGGAGGGCTGATGCGCAGAGCTGTGAGTTGGTCCAGCTGTTGATGGCATCGTCCACCTGCCACGAGTACTGTGGCATGCATTTGTTTGTGGCCTTGCAGAGTCGTGCAGGTGGTGACAGAACTGTATATATAAAGCTGGACGGTCCATGAAGTGATTACCGGACTTTAAGAACTGTTTTTCAGCCATGTCGTTGTTTTGCTGTTTCGTGTGTGGGGATGCGCTTGTGTATGGGGGGGGGAAGTAAAGTGTTTAAAGTATAAGGCTTTGAACCAAAACGAATGTATGAGATCGTCTTATTTTCGCCCCTGCTGAGTCTAGATCCACCCGCTTCCTTTATAAAGTGCGTTATGACGCTGTCATCTTGGAATTAATAGATGAATTGTTACAGTGTTGCTCTATTTTCACATATGATCTAAATGTCTGCCTTTTAAGACTTCAACACTCGTGTCAATAAAAGAGGCTCTGTATTTCAAATGCACTCACCTGCTCCAACAGACCAGAGAGAAACAGAGACATTAAAGAAATAAAGCCATTGCTGGTCGGAACAGGGAGAGCTTTCCATGTGCAGTCACGTTCAGCAGTCTCTGAGACTGAAACCAAGAACCTTGTTCTGAGCAGTACTTCAAGGATCACTTAAATCACATGTGGTGCACTGGGCTACATCTGAGGAGTTCTCTTAGACTCATCCTGAGCCTGGAGGGAAAGCTTAGGGCTTGTGCTCATTTATTTTCATACTCATTTAAATGTGTGAGAGATGGGGAGAAAAAAAGAAGAGGCTCGAGGGCTCATGTGGCACTAAGACACCTTTGTATTACATCAAGTACAGCACTTACAACACATGATACTTTTTCTGTTTTTTTTTTTTCTAAAGCGGTCTTTTAGCTGCAGTTGCAACAGACTGTGTGACATCTCAGTTAAATTAATACATTTCATACGTGCTTTGCTTTCCGTTAATCTGACGGCACCTGAACACGTCAGCTTCGTGTCTGAATGAGCACCTTACTGGCTTTTCTTTACAAGTTGCAGCAACAGTCTGGTCAGGCCTTGGTCAGACCTGGTAACATTTACATGACGCTTTCAACAAGGCACAAGTGTGAACTCAACGTCCTCACATCACCAGATAGGCACACACGAGGGCTGCACTTTGACTTAAATAAAGTGATCTGGGGAAGACTTTCTCCACACTTTAGCATCAATACCAGTGCATCAGATTCATGAAACTCACCAAAAACAAAAGCATTCCAGGTTTTGACAAAACACTAACAGTAGCTGAAGTCTATGACTCGTTGCTTCCAGATGTTTGTAGGAGTCTGTTGTTAGAACATCAAACAGCAGCAGGAGTCATCTGAGCTGACATCAACCTGAGACCTCACACATTTTTAAAAGTCAATAAAATCAAGGAATCCATACATAACAACATTACTGTTTCCATCTGGCTGAGCATTAATAAAAACTACTTTCATCCAGTACATCTCTTCTGTCAGTGTAGGAATTCAGATTCTCAGATTGATGAAAACGGTGTGTATGGTCTCTGTCAGCCAGTTCTAAGAACAGGAACCATGAGCGGAGTCGGAGTGGATCCAACGCTTCAGTAGTGCTTATGGGCCGCTCATGTCATGTAATTGGGATTCCCAATGGGTGACAAATGTATGATGCCCGGCACCTTTTTAAACACTATGAGCCCTCTGTAGCGCCACCCTCAGAGCAAACTTCACACTAAACTTACAGCCACACATGTTCTGAGGTTGTTGGTTGATCTTTTCCTTATTTATGTATTATGGGTTGTAATGAATGTTGCAGCCACACATGGCAAGCTTTGTGAGCTTTCAGTTCTAATAACATTCATCATGCCTGCAGCTTACTTGGACTGCACTCTCGAGCGGTGACATTTCGCTGTCACTCGTCATCCTCGTACCAGCGAGGGTGGAACAAGGTGAAACTCTCATTAGCAGCCCTGCTGCAGTTTAACACCTTTCATTCCCAGTGACTTTCTCACCTCCACTCTGCTCAACAAGTTTAAAAATACAGACCATGCACATCTCATTTGCATAATTTACACACAGACACCTCAGCAGTCCTTAACAGCAGCGGTGTAACTGTGGAGATAATTGGGATGGGAAATGAAAGAGTGTGTGTGTGTGTGTGTGAAAGTGAAGGAGTGTAAGTGTGTGAAAGGGAACGAGAGAGAGTTGCTGCCAAAGTGAACTTGTTAGCAGTAAAACTGTGTGAGTGTGTGTGTGAGTGTGTGTGTGTGTGTAGTTGGAGGGGTCGGTATCTCGGCTGCACAGTTCAGAGGCGAGAACAGATTGAAAAACCATCCTGACGACTCTTTTGGAGGTGGAGCGTGTAATTGCAGCCATTTGTTTGTCTTTCTCAGACGCTCCCATCCGAAATTTTATTTCAGCCCTATAATCCTGACTTTTTTTGGCTTTCTAGTTTGTCTCATGGGGTGCAGAAAGTAGTTTCTTTGTAAAAATGTGTGTGTGTCGTCTGCAGAAACGATCCCATTTTAGAGCTGATGTGTAGGTAGCATTCAGCAGCCAGTCACTTCGACAACAAGACGAGAGGGAGTGAAAACATTCAAAGCGATTCAGTTTTTTGGTTTGTGAGTCTGTAGCATAGCTGCCACAAACAAACCACAAAGAGCTGCAGCAATATAGACAGAGGAAGCAAAGAGGAAGAGAGAAAGAAACATCTCACAGACAGGCAGCAGATGACACAAAAAATGGGAAGATAGACGACTAGATAAAACCCAAAGAAAGGTTGTATTCAGTGGTGGTATTCACAGACTGACTGACCCTCAGTCAGACACACACACAATCAAGATACAGAAGATGCAAGAACAGTGTGGAGCAGTCCTGCATGTCTGCAGCTGAATCCAGTGCAGGAGTCAGGAGGGAAATATGGAGCTCTTTGTCTCTCAGAGAGACGACAGCTGACAGGCAGTAGAGGACTCCTGCTCATTTCAGCAGTGCTAAATGGGTCATTTGTATTGACACACTACAACCATAAAAAAAACACTTTAAACTAGTTACCATTTTAATAGAGAGTGCGTTCGCAATAGAGTATTTTCCACTAGCCTGTGGGCTAAATACCCCTGCAGTGACGTGTTCCTTGCCTCAGTCAGCGGTGAGACGTATTAAGCTGGAAGAGAGGCTCTAACAACCAGAGAGGAGATGCAGACAGTAGAGCTGTTGTACAGCTGGACTGTGCATCAGTCCAACTGAAACCATTCAGACCAGAATTTAAGCTCACTGTGGCTACAACACATCCACAATCCACTGCTTTCTATCAAACATCTATTCAGGCAGCAGCTAAACAGACGATGGCCTCAGAGGCAGGCTGAGAAGCTGACTCTGTCGTCACTATGTTGTGTTGTGAAAACCCAAACAGGGGATTTGGAGCAGAGTCCAGACTGTGATCAGCATCGAGTGGTTGTAATCTGCTCACAATTATGCTTCCTTTACAACATATTTGCCTCGACAAGGTTGTGGGATTATAATAAATAAGAACATTGTTATAAACATGAATGAATTCATGCTGTATGTATGTTGAGTTGCAGTGACGCCATCAATCACACATAGCTCATTGTTGTATAAACTTGTAGCTGCTACTCTACTGTTTGGGCTCTTCCAGCTAAAACGTAACTTTAAACAGACCTGAGACCGTTGGAAAGTAAAGTTGAGGCAACCCACAGCTGAGACAAGTCTTGTCTCAACGGGCTCATTTTTGGGCTCATTATACAGTATATCCAGAGACATCTTCTGTCCTTCCAAATTAACAGTGCATTCACATGCTGGTACAGCTGCAGGCCACAGCTGCAACAGTTGTTTAAAGACTGGATCAGCCTACAAGTGTTTCCTTTGACCTTTCAAATCTCAGCAGAAATCAGAAGCTGAGACACTGCATGGGTGTTTGACAGTGCAGAGAGACTTACTGTTCATTTACAACAAAGATGCAGTTGTCTTGGGAGGGGATGCCTGACACCGGGTGCTTACAGGTCACCTTTCGCTCATTGTGGCTGCAGGGAAACAGAGAGAGAGAAGACAGATGAGGGAAAGGCAGCTTTAGTAAAACAGCACAGATGTATTTTAAACTACTGTCAAACATACACAGTTGCACACAAGCAGACACAGATAAGGTGGAACTGAAGTGTTAGCTGCAAAAGCAGCACCTCTGCACGGTGAACCTAAACAAACAGCAAACCAGCTCCAGAGAACAAGCAGAGGATGGCAGCGCTGCAGCACTCACACACCTGGAGCACTGGGTGACGCTAAACTTCAGCATGACGTCCTGTTTAAAAAGTTGCTTCAGATGACGAGCATCCACTTCCTCCCAAAACCAAACAAAGAACAGGAACGAATAATCTCCTTCTAAGGAACTGTCTCCAGATCAGTCCACAGCAGGCTGGCCGGTGTGAGGAGGACGACAGCAGCTGAACAGTGAACTCCCTCTCTCCCCCCGGCTCTCTCACTCTGCCTCTGTGGCACCTCCCGCATCCGCTTTTCCTTTTTTCTTTCTTTCCTTCCTTTCTTTCAAATTTAGCCACGATTTTACTTTTTAAAACGTGTTTTGTGTAGCTTTACATCTGTGGAGTCTGGAGTGTCACCGTGGTGAATAGAAATGTTCTTAGTGTTGGCTTGAGTGATAAGTTTATGTGCTGCTACAAGTTAAAAAAAACTCAAATAAAATGAAATTAAATTATTCATCAATATATTTTAGAGTGAAGTTCTTCATGTGGAAACATCAACGTTATCTATGTCTGCTAATGAAGTCCATGATGTCGTTAAACATGATGGAAAAACGTAAAACGGTGGGCCTTGACTTAAAAATAGAGTTCATTTTTTTGTGTTTTTTTTTTTTAGTTTTTCATGTATTCATTTTATTCACTTAATCCGTCTTTCAACTATTTGCTAAGTCAGATTTTAAACAGACCTCTAAACACAGAAAACCTATTTTAAAAACACTTTTACATCTGCTGCCCCATCGCACAAGTGAAACGCACAATAAATACAGAAATGAATTAGCAAACAATGAAATGCATGTTGTCATCTATATATATAAATAAATAACAGTACTATTTTTATTTAACATTGTTTGATTACAGGTAAATCCCTAAAAGCCCCGACCCTAACATCAGCATCAGCATCGTTGCTGCTCATGCAGCCTTTTGCGGTCGCTACTGCTCAAGTCATTTTCCCTCTGGGATCAATAAAGTCTCTCTGATTCTGATTCTGATGGAGCCTTTCTGTGGTCCACTTTAGACTCCATATTTCTTTGATAGTCATCCTCTTCTCCCTTTTTTTCTTTTCACAGCACATCTCACTCCTCTCTGTCATCTCTCCTTGTCTCTGTTCATCTACTCCTCTCTCTGCTCTCCATCTCACTCTCTAGCTCAGTCTTTCTATTTCTGCCTCATATTACACAATACATCTATTACACTTCCACTTTTCCTGTCTCCACCTCTCCATCTGTCTTTTATCCTCCACTCCTCCCTGCTGGTTGTCTCTCTCTCTGTCAGATGCTGCATCACGAGGAAACTGCTGACTCCTTCACCTCCTTCTCACAGAACAGAGAAGTTTTGTTATCGACCCTCAAGACATGATGACAATGATAATGAAGTGAGGAGCAAAGTTTGTAACACACCACACACAGCACCTTCACTAACCCTGATCTAGACCACTGTCACTAATGAGATCATACCTTGCAAACTTTCAAAGAACATTAGAAGACATTAGAAATCTGGAATAATCGACAAGCTCACACACCAATACAAACACATGCACATGTGCAGACAGCTAAAGGCTGTATGGAGAACAGAGTCTCTGTAGAAGCCGGAGCAGCTGACGCAAACGCTGACAGAGTGAAAGAGAAAGAATTGAATTCTTTTCCTTCTCAAATCGCGTCATTCTAAATCCCAATGGCATGTTAGCACACACATGAAAACACAAAGACACACACAGATTCAGAATAACAACTGCACCCAGTCAGTGAACGAACGAAAATACTAAAACTTAAAAAAACAACCGTTAACAGCTCCACTCCTAGTAACAAATGTGGCATTTATTTTGATTACATGACACGTTCTGATTCCTGCTAGACGACAGTTAAAGCTCCAGTAGGCAGAGTCTGGAAAAGGCACAAAATAAAACAACCCCGTCCACAACAGCATAGAACTGAAAACATACAGCTCTCCTCTGGCCCCTCTCTGTTCCAAGCCCTACCACAAGACATGGTGATAGTTGTGCTAAACATGATCATTCATTTGTGAATCCAAGCCCGCCCTCCTGAGGGAGAGTCCTCCATCGCGCCACTACGTCCCTTCTCTCTCCATTGGCTTCATTACTAATCATCTCATCTGATTGGTGCATTCTAAATGTGCAAAAGCCTGAAAATAAAGACAGCATCAGATGCAGAAGTCTAGTTTCCCATCAGAATGCTTACTGTAAGGTCAGTGTGGAGTTTCTGGCCAATGATGCCAAAAAATAGTGCCTAGCACCAGGTTTAAGTGATTGCTTAAAACTGCAGATTTATTGATTGCACTGCAGGCATGGCTTGACACATTGAACACATATTGCTGCTGCGGCTATTTCAGATAAACCAAAATGTGGCACAACTGAAGCCAGAACCTTCTATTCTCTGATCTAGAATGCATCCATCTCCCTTTGACACGCATGAATCCTCGCTCACGTCTTGTTAGAGATGCCTACTCCCTCCTTCAGAGCAGTAAGGAGAGCTTTGGGGCAACCATCGAGCTGGAGGATTGGGGCGACTTCTAAGTCATGTGAAAGTCCCCGTATCCCCCCAGAGGCAGCACCTGGGCTGTGGGGTAATTTTGGAGTGGTGGCTACAGTGACACAGTAAAGGAATGACTGAATAGAAATGAGTAAAACCAATTCTTGGAAGCAGCAGAAAACTTGAAATGATTGTTTGAATTTTCAGAATTTGATTGAACATGAAGAGAAAAAGCATGACGGAGCAAATGATGTGTGAGGTGAGTCAGCAGGACCCTCATGCTCTGAAGGACTTAAAGACGCAGCGGAAGAAGGAAGCCTGATGGTCTTTACTGGTGACTGTTCCCCTCCCTGGGAGCACATTACACTACATCACACATATCGGGCGCCATCGTAGAAGACAGTTCTTTTAATACGCCTGTGAGTCATCCAGACGTAATAAAACAGAACAGGTCTGTCTCACTTCCTAAACGTTTTCTTCATCAGGCATATGGAGCAGCTTCAGGGTCAATTATACAGTTTCTGATTACATATCCAGCATCTGTTTACATGCATGGACTGTCATGATGTGTGCCCACATACCTGACGGAGGCCAAAAAATAAATTAGTATACCGGAATGAGACAGATGACAATTACTAATACCAATATTCTATAAGAAACTGCTAAAAAAGAATCTAAATGCTGTCAGTGGCACCAGCCCCAGCTGCAGCCTTATCTGCTGTGACAGTGTCTGCTCTGTGTCGCCCTGCTGATGATTAAATACTCACTGAAACAACAGCAGCAGCAGCTGAACGTGGCACCTTATGTTTTAACTTTACGACTTCAACCAAATAACGATGGTCCCGCTCGAATGACGAGCTCCAGAGGAGACGTCTCACCGAGCTGGAGTGATTCATAACCGGCTCATGTAATTTAAAGCTTGTGAAGATTTGCAATAAGATGTAAAAAGGTTGCAGGTAAAAAACATCAGGTCTGCTGTTCTGCTTCTCGCTTCTTGCTCGGGTTTGTAGGCACCGTATGCACGCCGCAAAAAGAGCGGGAAGTCAGAGTAAAGCACGAAAAAGGAAGAGCTGGTCGCAAAAACAAGCAAGAGCTGCGTGGAAGCATTTCATCAGGAGTGTCTTGCAATTGTTGCCACCACACGAATCAACGCGACTAACTAGTCTGACCATTTAAATGAGCAGCACAGAGCTCTGCATGATGAGCGCAAAGTGAGACCTGAATGCCACGCGAAGCAAAACAGTTATCTGGGATGCATTTGTCAGCGTTACACAATATTGAATGGCGGCGTGCATGGAGGCAGCGCCCCCTTCAGGAGACAGCGACAGCGAACGTTTAGTGTCTTATTCCAGACGTTCATTCTGCAAAACTTGCTGGCTGAATGATCCTGAAGAAAGGCTCTCTCATCCTGTCTGTACTGCTGTGTATGTACAGCAACATGACAATAAACCTGATCTGATTTGATTTGATTTGATAAATGCTTCAAACGTCTTTTCAGCTTCTTGTAAATTACAAAATCACCCCAACTATTCCAGATTTCTATGTATTTTTTTTCCTAAACGTTTAAAAACTGCTACAAATCGGTAGAAATGCGGGCAGTTCATGAAGCCGCATTCTAGAGCCAGAGCTGGAGAAGCAGTAACAGGTTGTTCACAGGTTCCTTCCTCACACACTGCAGACGACAGCAGCAGAGCACACACACCAGTGTCACTGCTCTTACTGTAACAGATGACAGTGAAGGTCAGTGTCAACTAAAAACAAGACGCTGCTTCCTAAATGTTTTCTACATGTTGTGCAGCTTTGATCGGCCTCATTGGAACCAAGCCACTCAAACGCGTTTGGATTTGCCGCTGCACTGATCCTTCGGGTTGGCTCTCTTCTGTCAACATTACTGTAAGTGGCTTATAATGTATTAGTGCATTATTACGCTTGTGATGGTGCAATTGTTGCACAAAGATGTGACATAATCGTACATTAGTGATGGTGGGGGTGTTAGCATGTGTTAGCAGCAGATGGCGACTGAGAGTTGACACTGCTCTTACACCTACATCTGGGGATGCCAGATGTGCAGAGATGGGGGAGGAGTTGGAGGAGGAGGGATGTGCCCCTCCCGGGTCTAATCTAGTCAGCCGTGCAGCACAGCAGGGTTCGCTCTGCTCCTCCAGCCCCCTGCAGCGGGAGGAGAGCCCGGCCAGAGGGGCTGCAAAAGCCAGCTGAGATGGGCAAGAAGGCAGTGACAGAGCAACACACACACACTGTTTACTGCACACACGGAGAAACATGCATGTGTGTACTGCTGATTATTCCTCCTGTGTGTCTGCTTTGTAAAGTCAAACACACACCGACACAACAGAGCATCAGTCACGTCCTGTGATGAATCCTCTTCTAAATAAAAAAATAACACACAAGCAAATCCGCAGACGCACAAACATATCTGCATCAGATAACGAGGCGGCGCAGTGACGGAGCTGGAAATCATTACAAAAATGACAAGTTGCAAATAAACCATCACGGCAGCTTTCATTTCAAACCACAAGCATCACTGCACTCGGTCTCAGACGCTCCGTGAAACAAATCACAGCGACGCCGCACTGAGCGACTGGACTCGAGGTTTTAACTTGAGCCACATCTCTGCTGCTTCCCTGATGGG